ATGTGGCATTTCGGAATGACTATATATTTGGAACGATCACACCTAAAAAGGCTTCTATCCTTGATTTTATTGCCACACAATCCTTTTTTTTTTTTTTTTTTAATCAAATAAGAACAATAAGATTAGTGCTAATTGGGTAGGTTGACTTCAAAGCCTTGTTAATGTTTTAAACTAGGTTTTGGTTATCTCACGTCTTGTTAGACTTCTTTTATAAAATTCTAACGTTCAAAAAAAATGACAAAGAATTTTTGATGTGATGATTTGATGCCTTGTTTTATGAATGTAGAATGATACGAAACCACAAAAGAAAATTTGTTGCTGTGCTGAGTTTATGCGTGCACATCTAAAAAGATTATCCGATTTTTTATTATTTGTGTTATAACACGTATCATATGGTCCTTACGGACAAAAGACATAAAAAGAATATACCTTCGGTCCATATCTATTTTATTGAATGTATTCTTTATAATCCGCATTTTAAAATATATGTCATTATGTTACATTCAAATAAAATACTAAGTTATTTAAATACGAACGAATTTTATGTAACCCTGTTTCTTATATCATTATAGATTAGTAACTATGTTATTTTCACTTGCAACTTGCCCAATATCATATATGTAAAACTTTTAAATTATTTTTACATATATAAAGGGAATATTTTGAAAATTCCAACAAAACAAGTTAATTACAAATATTTTGAAAACTCCAACAAAATATGATGCATACTGATGAATAAATGGCCATTAACTAGTCAAATGATTATTTTAAAGTCTAAAGCCAATAATGAACTACAAATCTTAACCACTCAATTCTTTCTAATTAATTAATTATGTCGACAGAAGAGTTCCAAAGACAAGGAGTTTATAATTTTTTAGTCATCTCCTTTTCATGAATTTAGTTATTTAGATATTTTATCTAAATAATTAATGAGTAAATTACACAAATGGTTCCTATGGTTTGGGATAATTTGCGCGTTTGGTCCCTAACTTTTTTTTTTTTTAACTCGGAAGGTCCCTACTATTTATTTTTGTTTCGCGCTTGGTCCATACTGTTTGTTTTTGTTACGCACTTGGTCCATGTCTTACCTAAAAATACCATTATTTAAATAGGGAAAAATGGTGGGGTGCGTAAGGTAAGGTGAGAGGAGTGGGGCTAAGGGTGTCTTTGTTTAAATAAATTAAAAATTCAATGAAAAAATAGTCTTTTTAGGTAAGACAGGGACCAAGTGCGTAACAAAAACAAACAGTAGGGACCTTCCGAGTTAAAAAAATAAGTTATGGACCAAACGCGCAAATTACCCTAAACCATAGGGACCATTCGCGTAATTTACTCATAATTTTTTTAGCTTAAAGTTAATTTAAAACACACAAACGAGTAATAAATAATCATATGAAATTAGAATATCTATTTAAAATGTTTTTTAAAAAACAGTGTTCAAGATTCAAATTTTATACAGTCGAATAATTATTAATATTCTGCAATTTATTCTTAAATACTATTCATAAAAAGGATTCAGTGTAGGCCATTAGGAAGACGATTTATCTTTTTTCTGTTACCCCTGAAGTGGACGACAAATAGGAAAACGGTCGACATATGATATGGCAGATAGGGTGAAGGGGCCTCTAATAATAATAATAATAATAATAATAATAATAATAATAAGGAATAGTGACAAAAATTAGATAAAAACATGTCATTAAATTAATTAATATAAGCAGAATATATACAGATGTCGTCCATGGGAGTATGGGACCATGTCCATATGAGGAAAAATATAGAAGCGGCATCCAATGTCCTAAACAGGCTATTTTGGATTTCAGAGCCCAAAAGTCAAAAGTTTATTGCATTTATAACAACTAGACAACTACTTTAACAAAATGTTTTATATCGTCTTTTAAATCCCTGAAAATTTACTATTATTGTTTTTTTTTCTAAGGGAAATTTTAGTGTATTTCTAAACTATTTCATAAATTTACTTAAGATAAAATTTCAAGAATGATCTATGTGATTAGGTCGAAATTGTCACTTTGCGTCAAATATGTTTGGACTAGCATTTATGGTCCAAAATTTTTCATTTTCTTTTCATTATGGTTCACTTTACTTTAAACTTTTTGGTAATGACGATTTTGCCTTTGTTTTTTCTTTTTCAGTTTTATTTATTTATTTATATACTTTAATAACTAAAAGAAAAAAAAAACACCTCTCTCTCTCTCAACTATGAACCCGACTGTGAAAGATGGCATGGGATTAAGGGGGCACATGCGTTGGTTTAGGCTAGTACCTCAAAACTTAAATAGAATCTCAAAGTACAATAAAAGAGACTTTTAAAAATAGTATATTAGCATAAAATGAATGAACGAATTTGAATTTAAATGATTTTGTTAATTTAGAGAACTAGCTGACTCTATTCAGATAACCATAATCCCTCAACTTCCTTCATAAGGCATTGGATAAGACAGATATATCAAAGATAACCATAATCCATTAACTTCCTCCGTAAGGCATCCAAGGTACCATTAGAGCCCAAGAAAACCCTGGAGATGCTTTGGATTTCGTTCCCCCTCATTAGGTTCTAGAATTGTCCAATGCTCAACTATTGAACATTGTCACCTTTAGACCCTGCAGTTTTAGTAATTCCTTTAACCCCATTCCAAATTAATTTCTGATTAATTATTATTTAAACAATATGATTTCTAATTAATATAATATTTCAATAATACATTAATAAATCATTTGTTTTGATTTCTAATTAATTTTTTAACCAGGTAATAAATTAATAAATCATTTTTCTCTCTATAACAGTCATCCTATTCAATTATCAGGTTTGAAAGCAACCCAAAATGATTGTGCTACTATCAATTCAAGTATATACTAATTATAGTTATGAACTTAGACACCTAATGCAATAATTTGTGCATTTTAGTCCTTGAGTTTTACGTGGGGCGTACCACAAGGTACGCTTAGCGTACAAGCTGTAAAGTGAGTACGCAGGGCGTACCAAAAGGTATGCTTAACATACTCATGCAAAGGCTTGGACGGGGTTCCGGATGTGTGCGTGGGGCGTATAGCCTTGTACGTGGGGTGTACGCAAGGTTTAATGAAAACCCTAATTTTCAAGTGTGGACACTGTATAGACATTATTATCGACCATGAAACCCTTATTTTATTAGCATCATCTGTCCTCCTAGCCCTATACTAAAAACCCTAAGCTCCTCTCTTCCATTTTCAGCTTATAGTGTCCATTTGGTGTGTTTTTATTCATATTCAAGAAGTAAAAGCTTGGTGCAAGGTGGTGAATCAAGGAGGAGCTTGTGGATCTCGACCTTTTTGCTTCATTTCCAACTTATTTGAGGTAAAAAGATATGAACTTGATCAATGATGGTTTAAATCTCTTATGTTTGAGTTTTTGTCCCTTTTGGCCCATAAATGAGATATAGTGGTTTGATACCACTCTAGGAGCTTTGAGGTGCCAATCCTGGTGCTTCTGAGGTTCTAGATGCATAAAATTGTCATCTTTAATGTTTAGATCCATCCGTGCATGAGTTTATGCCATTTTTGTGAAAGTATAATGTTATATCTTGAAGTTGGGATCTTTTGGGGGCATACAAAGTCACCAAGTCAATGACTTTATGGTTCTAGACGTCTTTTAGGGTTAGATATGTATTTTGGGCTTACAGTCTTAAGCATTAAAAGCTTAAGACTAATTTTTGGCTTAATGGCTTCGTACACTGGGCGTACAAGTCCGTACACACGATGTACAATCTAGGTTACGTGTACGCTTAGCGTACAACCAAGTACACCCCACGTACTTAGTTCGTTGGGCTTCACATCTTTTTGGCCTTGGCTGGGCAACTTCTTTGGACCTTGTTGCTTTGGGCCTTAATGAGCAATCTGGAATCAAGATTTTGGACTAAGGAAAATTATTGGGCTTTTGGGTAAGGCCCATAAAAGGGGTTTGGGCCCAATTTGGAATATTGGGCCATAAATGGGTCATGAATGATTATTTGGTTTTAGGCATTTTAGATTGTGGATTTGGGCCCTAGATCAAACTAGGTCGGGTGGTCATTTTACCCCAAGTATGGATTATTGGATATAGAATGGAACCCAAGTGTTAATTGGGTGATATTTTGTACTGATAGCTCGGGGTGTCGTCAAGACAACAACTAGGGATCTTCAGTGGGATTCAACATTTGAGGTGAGTTTCCTCACCATGTATAGCGGGTCAAAAGTACCAATGTTGACCCATGATCTGACCTGTTAGAATACTCATTGTTCGTGTGACACTAGTATGTGGATGTGCTTGTATGCTTTTTGGGTGGGGCCCGATGATTATTCAGTATGCTATTAGTTGTTATGTGTTATGATTTGTATGTGGGCGGGGCGCATTATCCGAGTTAGGACGTGACCTGTTATACTCATTTGGTGGGGCCTATTATCCAAGTTAGGGTGGGGCCGTTACACTCATTGGACGGGGTCCCGTTATACGAGTTAGGGCGGGGCCCGTTATACTTTTTGGACGGGGTCCGTTATATGTTATGTATTTATGATATGCGGTATATTGGGGAACTTATTAAGTTTTGTTCTTACGGTTTCAGTTTATGTTTTATGTACTTCTGGTTCTTAAGAGAAGAGCTCGGGTTGACGGCATCACACACACCAAATAGATTACGCATTTGAGATTTCACTCTCATTTTTATAATGTTTGATGCACTTATTTTATTCGGGATGCATGGATAATATTAAAATATTGTTTTTACTTAAACTAAAAATGAAAATTTTGAATTATATTTTTTGGACATTACATTACACCAATAGTACATGCATCTTTAGAGAATTGTACTTATTACTAGGTTCTTTTTGTCTCACAAATTACGATTATGTTAATCCATAAATCTGTTAAATATTAATATTGAAAATAAATTATTAAAATAAAAATGATTGAAATTTGATAAAAGTTTATTTTGTCAAGAAGGTGAAAATATTGGAATTAGAAGAGGACAAAATAGCATTAGTGGTACAAAAGAGATGCTTCCTCATCAGCACTAGTAACAGTTGTGCAAATAACACAGATAAAGAGAAGGAGAAAAGGGGATGCATTAACCATGAATTCTTTCATCATCTTGCACAACTTCAAAATTCCATCAAAGTCATTCATGTTTTAGAGTAAAATCGACAGATAAACACATAGATTGAGTGCACAGATGCTCTGCAAATGGGGAAATCCCAACCCCAATTGCCACTTAATCACCTCCAGCAGCAGCAAAATCGTCACGGGTCTTCGTTCTTTGTTCGATGTTCAAGGGGTTTCTCAAGAACTGCTCGATTGTTCAGTTTCAAGTGTGCTTTCATTTTGCTCCTTAGCGCTTCCGTTTCCCTTTCCGCGATCTTTTCGGTCGTTCGTATTCACCATAGACAATCTGGGTACGATGCAAATGATTCAATCAAGCACAGTGGTATGTATTTTGATTCTTTTATTCGTTCGATTTTCTTTATTTGAATGTTTGGAATTTGAATTTCTAGTTTTACTGTAGTTAGGGTTTTGGGTGGTTGTTTTTGGGATATGAACAAATGGGTTATTCTAAATTTTACTTAATGATCTCTGAATTGAACTCCTCTTGACTGTTGACTATGAAAACACTGATATAGGATTTATGTAATTCTGATCAATTGAGCAAATGGGTCACCCGGGATTCAGATTTAAGCCAAGTTTTAGTGATCTTGAATCAGGGTTTTATGCGTGATCGTTGATCGATGACTTTCAACAGCAATTTAGGGTTTATAATTTTCTCCTGGAATAAGAATGACCCTGGATTCTGTTTTCCACTCTCGCACACCTTTTTTTCAAAAACTTCAAACATCAAAGCGAATTCTCGAAAAAACCAAGTTTATGCAGCTCCCTTCTTATAATTAGGGTTCCTAAAACACTTTCTAATTTATCTATTGATCTTACATTCCCTTCATATACAAACTTTTGGGGAAATCATGTGTATGCAACTAACTATCCATGGATGTATGTATGATTCTTATGGTTCTTTTGAATTATTGAGTTGACCTTGTTGTTATTATTTCAGCTAAAGTTCAGGCATACTTCAGATTAGAAAAGTCAGTTTCGTTTCTTCTTCCCCAAATTACAAGACTAGAGTATGATATATACAATGAAATAGGTGTCCCTGGCACACAGGTTTGTTGCAACAACAAAAGCTACTTCCATTCTTTTTGTCCATTTTAATATGTGTTAAGTGTACATTTATGCAACAAAAATTTCACATTTTTTCCCAATTTATGCAACAAAGTGTTCTTCTATACAAAATTTGCAACAACGTTTTTCTATGACCAAAAGCTGCAATCATTAGTTGCGTAAAATGGTAAAAAGGTGAAACATTATTGCATAAATTGATAAGAATGTGAAATATTGTTTGTTTTGCAGAAATTAATTAGTTTCTGATTACTATAATAGAAAAAAAAAATGAAAGTAGGTTGGTATAATAAAAAAAGAAACCAAAGTATGTTGCTATTTATTGCATTCAACCTTTATCAATAATTGTTTATTTTTCAGGTTGTTATCTTATCAATGCATGAATCCAGTGAATATAACTACACTGATGTGGTCTTTGGTGTTCTTCATAAACCTATGAACTCCCCTATAAACCCCATATCTTTAAGTGTCTTGAAAACTTCATTACTTGACCTTTTTAGTCAACGTTCCAATTTGACTTTGACAAAATCGATTTTTGGTTTGACTTCTAATTTTGAAATTCTAAAGTTTCCCAATGGGATCACAATTATCCCAAGACTATCTCCTCCTGTTTGGTTTCTACCCGAAGTTCTTTTTAATTTTACTCTTCGTAATTCCCTACAAGAAATAGAATATAATTTTCTTGTGTTGAAGGAACAATTAAATTCCGGATTGCAGTTAATGCCTGATGAGGTATACCTATATGCTTTTTTATATTCAAGAAATATCAAACTACTTTAATTCATTTGTGTATTATAGCATCCTACATTTTTTTTTTTTTAATTTTTAATTTTTTTTCTACAGAGTGTATTCTTGCAAGTGACAAACAAAGTCGGGTCAACCCAAGATCCACCCGTAACAGTCCAGGCATCAATCGTGTCAAATCTAGGCAGTCTCGACCCTCAAAGACTGAAGCAATTAGCACAGGAAATTACCGGATCGCCCCCGGGAAAAAACCTTGGACTTGATCACTCAGTTTTTGGAAAAGTTAAGGAAATCAGTTTGTCGTCTTTTCTGTCTCGTACCCTCGATGCCCCCACACCTTCCCCGGCTCCTTCACCGGAGCAAAACAGTCCCACCGGAGCTCCGGCGAGTTCCCCGTCTCCTGGTGGGTCCGATGATGACGTGTCACCTGGTCCACGTCAGCGTGGCGTTCCACCTGGCGGTTCTACTAGTTTGCCACCAAATCTTTCTCCTTTGCCTGCTGTGTCTTATGGATCGGTTCCTAGCCATGAAAGTGGTTTGGCGCCTTCACCTCTGCCATCATCCTCTTCTTGTAAGTTATCCCTCTTGTGTTATAGCGAAGGGTATTTTGGTCATTTAATAAAGAAAGAAGAATGGAATTGAATTGAATTGAATTGTTTCAACCGTCTATTAGGAACGGTGTGAGACATATCGAACATTGACGGCGGAATTGAATTCCGTTCCGTTCATTTGGCAACCAAACGTGCGGTGGAATGGAATCTTGAATTCCAATTCCGTTGGATTCCGTCAAAATTTGATAGTTGGTATAATTGCAATTTCTGATATTAATTTCTTTTTTCTCCAATGCTTTTGCAGGTGGGTTACATTCGATATCTTGTTACAGCATGCATATATGGTGGTGGTGTTGGTGGCTTACAGTTTTGGTATTGGTAACATGATACAAAAGTTATATATATATAAGATGAAAAGGGTTGAAAGTCAAGCTATAGATATACGATCGTCTATATATATATATATATATGATATATAAATATAAATATAAATAATATAAATATATAATACAAACCAGTTGCGGGTCAAAGCCAAAATGTGGCGGGCCGCTTTGCGTTCCTGACAGCTGACTGAATATTCCCTAAGGGAAGAAAAAAAGATTGATCTTCATCAAATCAACAAAGTTAATGTTTGTGTGTGTGTGTGTGTATTCATGTTCATGCAGTATCATCAAGGAGATCCAACTGTATCTTGAAATCGAAAGTTGAAAATGCATTGTGTTTTTCTTTTTCTTTTTGTGGTTCTTTTTGAGCATCTGCATGCTTATTATTAGTGTTGTCTGTGACTCGAAACAAAGAAGTTTCAAGGAGTTTGGTTAGAAACTTAATGGAAAACAAGTACTTTTCTATCTTTGTAGAGGGTATTGATGCTGCCTGATATGAGACTGAGACTGTTGTTAATAGGATAAAATTGCAATATTATTGTTCCACATCCAAAGGTGGAACATGAAATTTAAGTCTTGCAACTTTGAATCCATGAAGTTTCATTAATTTGATTCCGATTCATATCACGCTTATTTTTTCTATACTTGAAACCAAATCAACTTTATCAAACCCTTTTTAGTGGCTTCATCTTCCTCACCCTCTACCAACAAACTAGATGCCCCAAACCTCATATTTTTTATTGTTATTATTATTATTATTATTATTTTTTTGTAAAGGAACTTTCCAAATTTCTGAAATCAAAGTTTGACAAGATAAACAACATCAGAGCATGGGAAAATGATTTACCGGGTAATCATCTTTATCGTTTTGTTCATCTTCCTTACCCTCTACCAACAAACGAACAATATTATATTTGTATACATGTGACCACTTATTAAATGTGTTCACATATTATCATAGTCACCTGCTATAGTAGGTGACAATGGTAATATGTAAACAAATTTAACAAGTTAAATGATCAAATGTGTAAAAAAAATGAAGTTCCCTAAACGTAAACATGACGAAAAGATAATTACTCTCAAAAGTCATTTTCCCTTAGAGCACTTCAGGTCCATAAGTATTTGCTCAAAACCTGTTACATAAATAACAATTGATATTTTGAAGAGTTTGACAAAAGATTTTGTTATATCATATCTTACGGAAGAAATCAAGGATGCGAAAGTATCGACAATTTTATATAAAGATGTTATAGAAGTGCTAGAATAAGAGAAAAATGATCATGAATATTATACACAATATTAAATTGTAATTTTGAGTTTATGAGTGTGTTGGGCAAAACTAGCCGGTAGCGGGTAGTTTGTAGCTTGTAGCGTTTTGTTAAACGCTATATGAAGTAGCATTTGGATTTAAAACGTTTTGATTAAACTAAACGCTAGAAGTTTGTAGTAACAAACGAGATTTTCTGTTTTAAACGGAACGTTTTGTTAAACGCTAGAAGCTATAAGCTTTCAAACGCTTCAAAACGCTCCGTGCTGAACACATCCTATATATAAGATGCAATAGTTTAATTATCAATCGAATTGTACTATCAATGAAGCTTTTCAAGTTATTGCAATATATTTTGATTACATGCTTTATGAAAATGTTATCTAACATACAAATGGTACTAACAAAATATACAAATGCCAATTTAATGTAGAACAACATTGTATAGACAAGAAAAACATATTTCGTAAAAAACGTCGCTAAGGTAATAACAACGATAATAAGTTTGGTTTTGAGAATCGTTCACCCAAAAAATACATTCGGTTTGAAACGACAATATGAGATTAACCTCCTTCAAATTATGTTCTTTCAATCTAAATTTAACGGACCAACAACATATATTCGGTCCCCATACTTGCATTAATAATCAAACATTCTTCAAATTATGTTTGGTTCAATCTAACCATAATGTTGTCGAAAAACTATATTAGGTGTTGAGAACGTATAGTGAATGTCACAAATTGTTCATTTGTTATCGCAAGTCAAAATGAATTTTCTTTGCCGATGATTATGTGCGGTGAACTGGTTACTGTTTGGTTCCGATAAATTTATGTTCAATGTACAGGATTTGAACTTCTATCACTTGCCATTTTCAAACGAACAATATTATCACCAACAAATAGGTATACATTTCCTCGCCTAAACAATCTATCAAGGTTGCCTATGAAATTGACAATGTGAGGATACTTATATTCGGTGTCAGGAACGTATGTGAATACCACATACTATTCATTGGCTATCGCCTGAACAATCTATCAAACTTCTCTATGAAATTGACAATGTGAGGATACTTATAGTCGGTGCCAGGAATATATTAGAAAACAAACCCCAAATTTGATAGCAACTGCAATTACTACCATTTTTCAACATATGATCCATAAAGTGTTAAGAAAAACATGCTCACCTGAAAACATTCCAAAAATACGATCAAAAAATTTCATTTTTAAATTTATAAATAAAACCATAGAAACCCAAATCATCTCATAAAAATATAAGTAATAGTATCTCAAACATCATATCAAAAAATTGTATTAAAATCATATGTCCAAATATCAAAGTAAATCATCTCAGGCTTAAAGTTGTGGTGTATGTCATACAATCATTCAGAGCTCTTCCCCTTGCTAGCAGAAGTACCTGAAACCAAAACTGAAAACCGTAAGCACGAAGCTTAGTAGGTCTCCCCAAACTACCACATACCATACACATAAATCACATAATAACATACATTGGGCCTTGCCCACTACATCGGACCCCACCCATCATCAGACGAATCCAGCATCGGGCCCTGCCTGGCATCGGGCACGAAGTCCAACGTCGGGCCCCACCTAGCATCGGACCGAAGTCCGATATACATATAACATATCAACAAGCATATAACATAAACATATAAACATTCCTCGGACTTGCCCCGACATCTAACCGAAGTCCGGAACACATAACACATAACATATAAGCTAAACATTCCTCGGGATTGCCCCGACATCAGACCGAAGCCTAGAACATATAAACAAACACATGCAAGAATCGCAAAGACATTAAGCATACAAACATTCCTCGTGTTTGCCCCGACATCAAACCGAAGTCTGGAAACATATAATTTATATCGGGCTAACCCCGACATCGGACCTAAGTCTATCATACGCTAACATACATAAATAGGCCGACATTGGTGCCTTCAACTCGTTCCTACTTGAGGAAAACTCACCTCACAAGCTGGCTGCTGAATCTTTTGGCAATGAAATCTCTATCGGTTGCTTTCGCAACTCCCCAGCTAACATCGTCACAATAACACTTAATCAATATCCAAATTCTTTCTTAGTGTAAAATGGCTACTTTACCCCTATTCAAAGTCAACATTCTGGGTTGACTCAACTCGACGAGTTGACCTATCAACTCACCGAGTTCTATAACTCCGAAATCCTGAAATCGCGATCCAACTCGCCGAGTCACCCCCAACTCGTTGAGTTCTATATGGTACAAAATCGAGACAAAATGACTCAACTTGCCGAGTTCCTCTATGGACTCGACGAGTTCTTCAGTCATTTTGGGCCTTCTTAAATGATTAAGCCCTTACTCTTCAAATCCAAGCTTCTTATCCCTCGTGCATACTGAGAACGTCCTTTTAAGGGTAAAGTTTCCAACTTTACCCGTTAATACCTCTTCTTCATGGGTTCAGCTCAAACCCTAACCCTTTAGGACCTAGATCTTGGTCCACAAGCCATCATTTCTCTAAACTAAGGCATATTTACTGAGATCTAGACTCTAGGCACTCCATGAACACGTGAAGCTTTCACTCCATGCATGGCATTTTGGAGCTTAAAGGCCAAAATAACACCTTATAGCTTGCATGGGGCTTCCATGGCCATAAAGTTTGCACCTTTATACCATATGAGCCCCTCAAGGTCATAGATCTGAAGGTATACCCACTTGGGACGTCCTTGTCCCAAAGATCCTATTTCTTGGACCAAAAAAACCATAAAATGCTATCAAAGAGATCTAACAAGCTACTAAGCAAGTTTAAGACCTACTTACCAGAAAATGAAGATGATGAGATGTTGTTTATGGATCTGCTAGCTTCCTTCGGAATCCCCAAGCTCCTCCTTATTCAACAAGCTTCAAAACACATAATAATCACTCAAAAACAACTCACAAGCTCATACAAGGCACTAGAGTTTCGTGGATTAGAGTTTAAGACTTGGAGGCTGGAAATGAGGCTAACAAGTGGGGATTAAGATGCTTAAATAGGGTGCAAAACCCCGAAATTAGGGTTTCATTCTGGCAGATCTACTCGCCGAATTGAGGCTCTCAACTCGTCAAGTAGTATCTACTCGACGAGTTGCTTTATAAAAATGAAAGAATTATTATTTAAATACGTACCAGAACCAGACGTTACATCACCTAATGTCAACAAACACCAAAACAATTTAAATATTCTTAATTTGTTTCCACTATTTTATATTTATCACGTGTCATTTTCAAATGGACAAGATTATCATCTAGAAATACATATATGTTCCTCGCTTGAGCAATGTATCAAATTTCCTTATGAGGCTCTTTTCATTAGTACCATAAAAACACTTTCCCTAAATAGATATGTCATAGAGCTACCTCTTGGTCCATTAAAACCATATCAATGTTGTTCAATTTTGATGCCTTTATGTACACATATTGCTTCCACAACGAAGAACAACACTGATTATGATGTTTCATGTAAACCAAAAAATAAAAATCAACAACCGATAAACTATAAACATACACAAAATTAATAATACACGTTAAAAATCTTACCATAATCGTAGTAAGCATTATTTATTGACTAAATTGGGCAGTATACCTCAGTTATACATTCGAAAACACCGGTTACGATGTAAATATAGGATCAAAGGCTACCATTAAACGATCGAAAATAACTCGTAACCACAATCAACGAAGAGCCATCCCCAATCGAATGCCATATGGGAAAACGAAAGCATCCGAAATATTGTTCTTCTCAAACCAAACTGAAATTGACATGACGCTACGACAGCCTAGAAACGCTCTCTTTACGACAAATCAACAACCAAAAAAAACTCTTTTAAGTTATATACAGAAGAAATAAAGATATTGTACTTATTTATTGATAATTTAATATTGAACTTTTGTTGGAGTTGTTTAAACGTGTGTAGTACTGGTAGGTGATTATCTTTTGCTGAGTCAATGATTGCGTCACTCACTGATTCAATTACCGAGTGAACTCGGTATGTAGCTTGTCGTATGAATCGACGGCCAGCCATCATCTCTCCTTATCAAAACAACCCTGCACCCCTTCACAACTCCTCCTTCTCTTTCTCTCTCTAGAAAACCCCAGAGAGAAAACTCAAAATAACAAGGGTAAAAAACCCCCTTTTCATCATATCTCACTGTGAAACTACATCATCTTGTTTCCCTCTATCCAAAAACCGATAAAGATTTCAAAGGAAAAATGGCGCACACAGTGTTCCAGACTGCTCAAATTATGCCAA